AAATCGCAAGTTTCTGCAAAGTCCTGCTGATATTTTTTATAATTTTTTTTTTGCTGACTGTATTATGTATTTTAATTCATTTAAAAAATTTTCGAACAGACTTTATATGGAAGAAAATGCCTTAAACAATAGAGTACCGGATGAGTCGCAGGAAAAATCAGGACACTCTCAATAGAACAAGCACCCGCCCTCCACCACGACAAGACGCACAATTGCATCTTGGTGGTTCATGGTTATTAAAAAGGTCGAAATTTGAGATTTTCAAGCGTTTATTATACATTCTGCTTTTGAGCGTAGAATTATTTGAAAATAAAGATCATAATATAAACAATACTTTCAATTTTACTGCACGATGGTTTGATGGTCATGATACACTACACATATTTGAAAAAAATTTACCAACCCTGAAAAAAATCTACCAATCACTTTTTTTTAGCTTTTTTATTAAAAATTATATTTTTGTTCTATTTCCATAGAAATTAAAAGTTTTTATTGAGGAACTTTTTATTTAACTATTGATATCATATTTAAGAAGGTTTCCTTCAACCAAAATCGAAAGTGATGAAACACAGGCAACAACGAAACTTCATCATTTGAAAAAAACTTAACGGGGCATGAATCACGTAACTTGAAAACGATAGTCGTTCAAACGATACTGACAAAACGTTCTCGTAAAAACACTGATACATATATGCATTTGTGTTGCTGTTACTTATCAAGGGCCGGTTGTTCAATGTGTGGTTATCATAACCACTACACTATCGACGATTTCGACATCATGCATGTAACATGTGATCGATAAAGCAGTCGTTGTACTTAATCGGAGCTTCTACCTCCGCTTTGTGCTAATCAGACATTGAACAACCGGCCCTAAGGCCCGTTTGTATACAACTTTGGCGTTGCGTTGGCGTTGGCCTCGCTTCGACAGCTGACTATGAATATATGCATTTATAGGTTTTTTCCCTAACAATCCGGACAGGATCCGGTAATTAGAGAATAAGCGAAAACTTTGCTCTCAAAAATGGAACAAAATCCAGAAGTACGGGAACGCAAAAAACCACATTTCGTGCCCAGAATTTGTGAAACAGCTAGTGATGTGCTGAATTTTCGGTGCCCAATACTTCCTTTTCGGTACCCGATGCCGATTCTTTACATTAAACCTTCGCCATTATATGCATTTCAAGTTTAGAAAAAACTTTAATTACTTTAATTTTAATGATATCGGCTAAAACACTTGAACTTATCGCAACAGAGAAATATTATTTTATCAGTTTTAATCTTAGCTGATCCAAGGTACAAGAAAAATGCTTTTACTGATGAAGAAGCCTTTCAGGGGGTGGATTCTGTAACCAGTTAGCGACAAGTTTCGGATCGATATCGCACTTGTTGACGTATAAATATTTCATATCATACGTCAACAAAACCGATGCCGATTCGAAAATTGTCCCTAACTGGTTACAGAATCTGTGCCCAGGCCTACAAAAATGATATCGTCAGATTCAGCTGGAACAAAAATGCTTCAAATAAGTAAGAGTTTCTCTGCATTATGGCCTTGAACCGACACATATACATCTTTCATTTGAATCTGTATTAAAAACTCTATTGGCTCCTACATTCGGGTTTTTATAGGCGAGTCTCCCCTGAACTGTTTTTCCATATTTTTGCGCTTTTATTCAAAACCTAAATGTTTCGGTACCCAGTATCGAGAGTAGAGAACCTTATATGAAAGTCTCCACATAACCAAAGTTGGGCAACGCCAACGCCAACACAACGCAGAAAGATAGCCAACTCTCAACTATTCGCGCGCGTCGTTCGTCAGCTGTTGCAAATAATCAAAATTACGTGATTTAATTTTCATTTTTAATCAAATGCGGACAAGAAATATAGTTTTTAATGCAATATTGATGTAAAATTTTGATTTATCTGCCGCTAGTATGTTAATTTAGTGACCAAAGTATTCTCTGCTACTCGTTCATTGTAGGAAGCACGGGCGTTACTCGCGCTGCTGTCAAAGCGACGCCTGCGCCGACGCAACGCCAAAGTTGTATGTGGACGGGCCTTTACTGTTACTGTTACATGAAGCAAAACTTGAATCGAGTTGAAAATATCGCACAAACGATCAAAATATTTTTAGTTTTCATGAAGCAACACAATCTCGACACGATATCGTTCAGACGATTGTCCTCATACGTGATTCCAGCCCTGGATTTATTATAGACAAATACAGCGACTCAAAAAACCCCTTGTGATTTTTCTTTCATTCACAATGTTGTTCAATTATTTTTTTCTTTTGCTATAGACAAATACACTGATCAAAAACCTCTTTTTTGTTTTTTTTTTTTTAATTCATAATGTTGTTCAAGTAAATTTTTTTGCTATTTATTTTTGTGTAAGAATATTTTTTGCGATTAAACCAAACCCATAAATATCAAGGATTCAAACTATATAAAGAAAAATTACAAAAATTTTCGTCTAAATTTCGATTTTTTTAATCTGAATTTTTTGGTATGCAGTTTTATAGTCGATGGAAGTTTAGTATAACAAACAATGTAGAAAGAAATTTATAATATAAAGATAACCACGAGAAATAAAGCGGGAACGAAAAGTTTTATTTGTTTTTCAAACAAAATACTTTAACAAAAATCTACTATTAAACAACGAACAAAAATTTACCTTTTTACCAATCCAAATTTTTTTAACCCAATTTTGGTAATAATTTACGAAAGTGGCAACCCTGGTTAGGATGGCTATTTATCTCTACAAGCTTCCCCGACGTTCCCAGTGCGAACTAGCGCATATTTACGCGGGTTGCAATTCTACCAACTTTAGAGAACAACTCCACAACAAGCCGCTCAGGCGCTTAGCGCTTTTCAGGCTTTCAACGCTCTATGCAGCTATTAGTTTAATATTAGAGCTCGAGCGCCTCAAGATGCCACGCTTGAAACACCTGCCATGGGGGTTCAGTTATTATGCGAACGATGTACAAACACGCCCCAAACGATGCGCGTAAACAGTTCATAAAAGGTCAGCTTTGTAAAAATCAGGACATTAAGCGGGGAAAGAAAAATCAGTCAGGACTCTTTAATTCGACCCTGCAATCAGGACATGTCCTACGCCAATAAACACCAAAAAAATATTTATCCAACCATGGGGAAATTCATAGTTCTCAAGTTGATATCCAACATCATTCTCCAACTCATCTCTAACTAACGCGCAGATACGTAAAAAGTGATAGAGAAACGAATTTTTAATTATCAAGTGCAAAACGAAAGCTATATAAAGCGGAAAATTACCAACAAAAAGTAAATAATCTTCAAAGTATCTCCAAATAATCTTCTTCTTCTTCTTATTTGGCGCTGTAACCGCCTAAGCGATTTTGGCCGAGTCCAAAACAGCACGCCAGTCATATCTCTTCTGTGCTAACTGACGCCAATTGAAAATGCCAAGTGAAGCCAAGTCCTTCTCCACCTGGTCTTTCCAACGCAGAGGAGGCCTTCCTCTTCCTCTGTTCCCAGCATCGCGGCCCGCGTTGAATATTTTCAGAGCAGGAGCGTTTCTGTCCATCCGAACGACATGGCCAAGCCAGCGGAGCCGCTGAATTTTAATTCGCTGCACTATGTCTATATCGTTGTAAAGCTCATACAGCTCATCGTTAAATCG